GAGCCAAACTCCAGACCAGCAGGGGGTTATGGGTAACCGAGCCAGACTGCCGCAGAGCAGGGGATCGTGGGTAATAAAGTAAGGGGAGATTGTGGTAACAGAGCCAGACTGCAGCAGAGCAGGGGGTCATGGGTAATAAAGTCAGGCTTCATTCAGCTCTCCAGAAATCATGGGTAACAGAGCCAGTCTCCAAGCCCACAGGACAATAGGTCATGGAGCTAGACTCCAGAAATACAGGGGACTGTGGGTGACGAAGCCAGGCTCAGGCCCCAGGGTACTCCAGGTACTATAGCCCCCACTAGTTCCGACCTCCCCTCCCCCAGAAGCCCCCAGAGGCCCCCACAGGGCAGGCCTTCCTAGCCCCAAGTGTCTCCCTTACAGCTGCAGGTCCCCCTCTGGTCCTCCTAACCCATCCTGCAGGTCCCTTCAGGGAGAGAGCCAGACCCCCACCCCAGGCATTTACCCACCAATGTCGCCACCCATCTGCTCACTTGAGGAGCCAGGCAGGCCCCGTCCCCACTTAGAAGGGGAGACCGAGGTCTCGATAGAGACTCACACCCGGGCTCCTGCCTCGAAGCTGGCCGGTGCCTGGCCCCTACACCCTGCCCTCTGCTCCCCGGCCCAGCCCTCGGAGGCCGGACTCGCACCGTCTGCTCTTCTTGATCTCCCATCAGGCTCCTAGCTTACAGAGCTTCCTGCAGCAGCAGGCTCAGCTGGAGCTCCTGGCCAGACGAGTCACCCTGCTGGAAGCCATCATCTGGCCAGGTAACGGCAGGGCGGGCAGGTAGGGGCGGTCCCTTCCAGGAAGGGCCCAGGGACACAGAAGTCACCTCCCACTGGTGGCCCTAGGCCAGCAGACACTCCTTCTCTAGTCCTTCCGACCAGCCAGCAGACAGACAGACGGTGCCTGACACCTTGTGTCTGACACACAGTGTCAGACAGACCTAGTCCTGTTGTCGGGGAGTGTAGGGTGCAGGGGCACGGGGGGTCACCCTGGAACTGTTAAACCTGGGGTGAGGAACGCCACGGTGGAGTGAGTGCTATGAGAGCACAGAAGTGCCCCAGCCCCAGGCTGGGGTGTGTGGGGGAGGGCATCTCAGAGAGGGCTTCCTGGAGGAGGTATCCTCTAAATGAACCTGAAAGGCAAGGACAAGCAGGAGTAAACAGGCAGAGGACAACACGAGCCAAAGCCAAGAGGCTAGACTGTTCTGTGAGCTTGCGAGGGAGTGACAGCTGAGGCTAGAGAACCTGGCAGGCCCCAGTTTGAGAAGGCTCTTGAAGGGAGGTAGAAGGCAAGTGGGCAGCACGCCTTCCGGTGCCTGGCTTTTCGTGGTGGGGCTAAGGAGGGTTCTCCCCATTAAACCCGAGCCTGTGGGTGGCCGTGGAGAGAGGCAGGGATTGGCCGCCCTCAGGGCTGAGCTCCAGTCCTCACCTACCCACGAAGAGTCCTGTGTGGACAAAGGCCTGGAGGCTGGAAGAGGCCCCCACGGCCGCCCTCCTCCCACCTCCAGCCGCCCCGTCTCACAGCCCAACCCTAGTACATCAGTGCACAAAGGCCTCGGACATCATGTCCAACTTCACATCTGTTTTACAGACGAGGAAACTGAGTCCCCAAGCAGGAAGGAGGGCCAGGATGACAGCCAAGCCTCCTTCATTCAGCAAAACTGTAGGGCACAACTACTGAGTGCCAGCTCAGGGTGGCCACTCTGGGCCCATCAAGTGAGGGGGAATCCTCAGGGTCTATAGAGATGAGGGCCATGGGGGACAGGAGCACCAAAGGATGTGAGTGAGCGGCAATCCCCTCCGGCTGCAGCGTGGAGAAGCCTTCCTGGCAGAGGGGACACTTGCGTTGGGTCACGGAAGATCCCTGTGATTGTGTGAGCACAAGACAGAAAGGGCAGCCCTGACGGAGAGTCCCGTGTGGACAAAGGCCTGGAGGCTGGAAGGGGTGTGTGGTAGGCTTCCCAAGCTCTTCCCACCTTGCCACGGGGCTTCTCTAACTTTTAGAAACATCAGTGGCCACCTTCCAGACCTCCTCCCCCTCTTACAGTTCAGGGCCCAAGGACCAAATCCCAGGCTTCTTCAGGTGCTGTCCTCTCGGGAGGACAGGGAGAGGACCCAGAAGGGACACACTGTAGCCTTGGACCTATAGCCCATCTCCACTTTAGTCACCTCTGTATCCAGCAGCCCAGGGAGGGAGTGCTGGTCACCTGAGAAGGGCCACGCCCCCTCGTTGTGGCCACCAGCCTGGGAGAGTGACCCCACAAGCCAGCTCGAGTTGTGGGCCTGGAAGGGGAGGGGAGGGGGAGGGAAGCAGAGAAGAAGGAACTTTCCCCATTGTCCATTGTACACAGCAGGTGCTAACTAAAGACCCAGACTGAGCTCTCATGTTTAGGTTATAATCAGTAATGAGATGGTAACAGCCGTCACACATCTGGCCCACCGGGCTGGGGGATTTATAGCCAGCCCTGTAACAAGCTTGCTGGGTGGGTGACACCATGCTCATTTCACAGATGAAGAAACAGAAGTACAAAGAGCTCACATGATTTCCTCAAGAGTCACAGCAATAGTAGTGGTGAGGCCAGGGATCCACCGTGGGTCTGTCCTCAAAAGAATTGGCTCTTTTTGCTCCATCAGCAAAAGTTCGTGGACACCTCTGCTCTGCCAGGCCCTGAGCGGGGCCCAGGGGAAACCAAGGGCCCTGAATCTGATTGTGTCAGAGTAGCATCTCATGACCAACTCACAGTGGCCAGGCCTGCAGGAGAGCTGGGTCAAAAACACACCTAGTGACCATAATAATCCAGCATGCGAAAACCACTTTCCACTCCTGGTCACCTTAAACCCTTACCACAGGGGTATGACACCGTATTATCCCCATGTTGCAGATGAGGCTCAGAGATTCTGTGACTTGCCCAAGACCACATCATTGGTACGTGGTGGGGCCAGGACTTGGCCCTAGCTGATGTTGGAGCCTGAGCTCCCTGATTTAGGGCATGAAATCTCCCTTGACTGTGACCACACACACCTGTCTGTCCCAGGGGCCCCAAATTTCAGCCCAGAGGTGTATGGGAGGCTGGGGCACACAGGGTCAGAGTGCTAGACAGCTAGGATTAGGAGGGTATAGCCCACTCCCCTGGCAGTGCCCCAGTGGGAAGCTGGTGCTCACCAGAGTCCAAGTGTCTGTCCTTTTGAACAGGACTTTGGAGGCTCAGCCAAGTCCCCTATCCTGGGGCTCTGCTCTTTGAGTGTTCCTCTCGCCCTGGAAAAATAGCCCATCCTGACCTACCTGACCTACTTATTTAACTTAGAGGGGGACCGAAGTGTTAGCAGCAGAAGACTTCTTGAAGGAGGCAGGCCTTGCTTGGGTGTTGAAGGATGAGTAAGAGTTTTCCAGGTGGCAAGAATGCCAATTATTTAGTTTCATTCTTGTGGGACAGCTCATTTCCAGGTTGGGGCCAAATTAGAACTAATTTCAATAATTACTGGAGTTGGCCAGGACCTCAGAGTACATCTGGAACTATCCCTCCTGGTTTTAGAGATGAGACAGTTGAGGCCCTGGCAGAGACTAGACTTGCCCAAAGCTGTCAGTAGGTCAGTGGCAGAGCCTGGCCTTTCTAAACTCTTCCTCACCACACGTGGCCTCACCCAAGGAGAGGGGGAGAGTGAGTCTATTCCCTGACCTTAGCTTACCCAGCTATGAAACAGGGATGATTCAGGGCACGCCTCTGCCCCCAAAATGTGGGAAAGGACTATACTTTTATGGAGCATTCGCTCCGTGCTAAGCATTTCAGAAACATGGCAGGTTCATTGATCCTTACTTGACGGAGAAAATCCAGTAGAGGCCCTAAGTGCTCTCACTGGGTGGGGAGCTGATAACTCCCGGGGGCGGAGGGGAGGCACTAACCAGCTTGCAAACACCCTTCTTTCTCACAGCTCTGCCTCCCAGACGCCAGGGCAGAGTGCACCTGGCAGAGTACCGAGCGCCCCAGCCCCCCGAGGGCCGAAGGGAGACGGGCACCTCACACAGACCTCACTAACCCTGACTCTCTCCTTCCCTCCGGCAGAACCAGAGGGGTCGGGGGCAGGCCCCGTCGGCACAGGCACCCCCAGCCTCCTGCGGGGCAAGAGGGGAGGACACGCGGCCAACTACCGGATCGTGGCCCCCAAGAGCCACAGCGAGAGAGGCTGAGGGCGGGGGCGGCCCTAGGGGCAGACCAGGCCAGGCTTCCCTTCCCAGCCTGGACTTGGCCAGCTGCCTCCAGGGACCGCCCATCCATATTTATTAATGTCCTCAGGGTCCCTTCTGCCACCTAGGCCTTTGGGATGGGCAAGTCTTGGTCCTGATTCCCCGTGCAAGCCTAATATGAAGCTGAGAAGGGACAGTGGACTGAGAGGGAGGGGCAGCCCAGGCAAGAGGTGAGGCCTCGCTCAGGGCCCTGGGCCTCCATCTCCCTCTGTGAAGTAGGATGATGCAGGCCTGCAGGGGATGGGGGGCAGGTTCGAGGCTTGCCACCCCCTCCTCCCCAGCCAAACCTCGGGGAGCCCACCGTACCCCTCCTCTCCTTGATTTCTGGTGCTGGGTCCCCACCCTGAGCTCAACAGGCAGGACACTGGGGATTCCTTGCATAGGTCCTGTCCCCCCGCAGCCCCCAGCCCCTCCCATGTCCCAGGTGGGGGTGGGGGCATGGAGAGGGAGGGGCCCCCTGGAGGTAGAGGTCTCCAGCCAATAAAGGCCCCCAGTCTGATGTCCTGATGTCCCACTGGCCTGGTCTCAGTGTGTGCTTAGATGGGGTGCGGCTGGGCTGGGCCAGGAGCCCCTTCCCTCTCCTCGGTGGCCTTCCCTGCCCACACACAACACGGGGCAGGGTGGCGGGGAGGTGTGTCTCCACACATCCAGGAGCTGTTCTCCTGCAATGGGTCATTCCTTCACTGCGCATTCATTCATCCCTCCCCGCTGCTGCGAGCACAGGAGAGTCAGACAACAGCTGCCCCCAAGGAGGTCCAGGCTGAAAGATGACCTAGTCTTTATTCCGAACAGTACCAGCGTGGGGTGCCGGAGGGGGCTCTCCCGCACCACACCGCGACTCTCGGGCGGACAGGGCTAGGGGGGACCAGGACCCTCAGGGTGAGCGGGCCCACCCCTCCCCGGTGTCACCAGGGCCTCAGGGCCCACCTCCCCGCCAACCAGCAGCGACACAGCGCCCTCCACTCGGCCTCTGGCCGCCAGGGCCACCACCGCCTGCTCTGTGGGGAAGCCCATGCGCTCCAGCTGCTGCAGCCTGGGGGGTGGAGGGAGGGAACGTCAGGGCCACCTCCAGCCCCTGCCCCAGGGCGCCCCCCCGCCCCCCCGGGCCACCCGCCTTACCGCAGAGAGGAGACGGAGGACTTAGGCAGCCACAGCGGGGTCTCAGAACACGGGGCTGGCCCGTCAAGGAGTGAGGCCTGGATCCCCTCCTGCAGCAACTGCTCATCCAGGGCTGCCCACAGCGGGGTCCCTGGGGGGAAGCTGGGCCCGGCCCAGGCCAGGCCCACCTCTGAGGAGCCCTCCCAGGTCGGCTGCACAGGCTCCAGGCCTGGCGGGCGCTGGGCCGAGCCTTCACCGCGGGACCAGAGGCTAGGGGAGGCCATGTAAGGAGGTCCAGGGGTGGGAGGCCTGGAGGGGCAGAAGCAGAAGAGGGCCTGACTGCCAGCCCCTGCCACAGCTTCTGCCAGCAGGGCCAGCGTCTTCAGTGTTGCGCTCACCTCACTCCGGCGGGATGGGTGACAGGCAGCTCGGCCCGGCCCCCTGGGGTAGGAAGGAGTCTGAGCGGCCAGCACCCGGCCAGGGCCCTGCACAAGACGCCCTCCTGCAGTGCTTGCAGCCGCCGGTCCGACAGCTCCAGCCACTGGAAGGCCCCGGCTGCGTCTGGCTGCCCAGGGCAGGGCGGCTGGTCAAGAAAAACCAAAACCAACCAGCGGGGGGGGGGGCCGGGAGAGATCCAAACTGCATGCCAGGCCCCGGGCCCAGTGTGTGCCAGCCATTCCCTTGTGTCTCCTCACCCTAGTCAGCTCTCGGGAAAAGTGGAGGCCCTCAGGAAAGGAACCCGCCAGAAGCTACTCAGCATGTAACAGGCGAAGCCAGGTGTATCTCCCCACAAAAGCGGTCTCCCCCCCACCCCCCGGTTTCAGCCACCCGCCCCCCCCTCCCGCCTGCTCTGTCCCCAGAGCCCCGTGAGACTACTCAGGTCCGACTCAAGGCCCACCCTGGGGCCCACTGACACCCCCCCATTGCCCTCTGCCAGGGCGACATACTCCCCATGCCAGGATTCAGCCAGGCTCGGCAGCTGGTGTCTCCAGGCCCAAAAACACCACAGGGCGGTCAGCCTGCGCCCACTGTTCTCTCCAAAGGCACCGTTTTCCCCCAACAGGCATGAAGCATCTTTGAAGCAAAAGCCTGTATTTAATGCACCACAGGTGTTCCCCCTTTCAGCGCTGAGCTCCAGGCTCCCTCCCACCCTGGCCTTGTACTTCCTGCCTGGCCGGCTCTCTTTTTCACTTCTCTTCCCCTGATCCCCTCATCCTGCACATCGTACCTCAGATGCTACCCCCACTGGGGAGGGCCAGGTTGGGTGCCTGCTTGGGCCACCCCGGCCCCCCTGGGCTCCCCTTTAAATGGTAGTTGGCACCTCCCCCTGGTCATTGGCCCTGAGCACCCCCTGCCCGGAGCCTGGCTACAGAACCCGGAGATGCTCCCGGAATGCGTCTGAGCCACTTCCCAACATTGTTGGGCCTGAGCACCCTGTGCCACTTCCCTCCCGGCCACCCTGGGGGCCCAGCCACGGAACCCAGGTCCACACGGGCCCTGAGCCCTGGCAAAGGATACAGGCCAGGCCAGCAAGAAGGCCACAGAACAGCTGCAGGAAGGGTGGCTCGGAGCTGAGCAGTGGTGTCAAGGCGAGCAGCAGCCAGGGCAGGAGCCATGGTGGCAGGATCCCCTGGGGCTGGCGAGGGTGGTGACCCTGCCCAGCCAGCATGGCCAGGTGGACCGGCATGTAGCCGCAGCCGCCGGCGGCACTGGACACCCCAAGGCCCGCCAGCAGCACCCCCATGAGCCCGGCAGCCAGGGCGAGCAGGGCAGAGGCATGCAGGAACCTCAGCGTGCCCAGGTGGCACTCCTGCCACCAGCCCAGTGTGGGCAGGAGCAGCAGGCTCAGGAGCAGGCCGGGTAGGGCCGTGTGGCCCAGAGCATGGGTCAGCAGCCGGTGCGCTGGGGGAGAGAAGGAGCGTATGTGCCAGGTTAGTGGCCCTAACCCCCAAGGCTGGCCCAGGTTGGCAATTACCCTCTGCAGGACGCCCGCTAAGCCAGCCTCCTCTCCCCAGGAGCCAAAGTGCCCACTTCGAGCACTTTAATTACTCATGAAGGGGACCAAGGGCTTCTAAATGCTGCGACTGCTCTCCTGCTGTGTTAACCAGAACAGGCCGGGCCCACCAGTCAGTCTTCCCAAGAGCAATCCAACTGTGGATGAGTCACTTAACGTTTGCTGGGAAGCAGGCACTTCACGGGGGTCACCCTTTAAACTCCCAGCACCTCCTCGACATTCTCATACTAAGCTGAAAGCCTTAGTTCTTATTTTAAGGGAAAGCCACCAAAAAGGGAAGCTATCTGAATAGAATTCCTACTTACAGGCTCCCACCCCTCTGCTGGCCCCTCTGCCTGGGTGCTCTGCCCTCCCTGCTTGGCTGCGGATGAGCTGGGCACGCTCCTGTCCCAGGCCAACCTTCCCCCATGCACTGGGTCCTATCCCTGCTTGACCGGTGCAGGATGCATGGCGCTCCTGAGAGCCAGTCTCAGGCCCTAGAGCAAGCCTCCTGCCTCCTCCAAGGCCTAAGGGGCCAGCCCTCACCCTGCCAAGGCAGCAGCTCCGGGGCCAGGGCAAGGCTGGGGCCAGCCCCCACCAGCCACAGGCTGCTCAGGAGCAGCATCAGGACGGAGGAGGCTAGAGGCAGCGCCGGGGACGGTAGGCCGGGGGGGCCTCGGGCACGCATAGCGTGGCTGAAGGTGTCAAGGGTGGTCTTGAGGCTGTGTGCTAGGGGTAAAGGAAAACGATAACAACAGTTATTACTGCAATTTTTATCCAACTCCTTCCACCTACCCTCCGGATAGCCCCATTTTACAGAAGCAGAAACTGAAGCTGGAGAGGCAGGCCCAGCAACTTGCCCATAGAGGAGCTCAGATCCTAACCACATGCTTAGCCATCTTGCCATCCCCTCTGCCTGTGTGTGAGGATGGGGAGGGGCTGAGCCAAAAGGGCTCTGAAGAAGAGCCTGGGGTGGGAGGCACAAGGCCAGGGAAGTTGAACTGGGGCTCTGGACTCCCAAAAAGAGGGGTGCAGCACCCCAGGGCAAACTCAGGGCCATCTCCAGCTTTCCTCTGCCTCCCTCCTCCCTGGAGCTGCAGACCAGCCACCTTCCTCACTCCTCCCCTCCACCGGGCCCAGCCTTAGAGCTCTAGGTGGACTCGGCTGCCCTTGACAAAGGGGGTGAGGCCAGCCAATGGGCAGGCAGATTAGGAAGGAGGTGAGACAGAAGGGCTGGAGGAGGGGCAGGAATCCCACACTCTTGAGTACATACAAAGCGACACTGGACAGAGTCATCCCCTCCCTCCAGCTTTGAGCACAGCCCCTCTGGCCCTAGCCCCCCTTTTCACAGAAAGGTTCCAGGATCCCCTCCACTGCTCCCTGCTGTGCATCCCTGGACAAGTTTTCCATCCCCTGAGCCTCTCCTTCCTCATCTGTAAAATGGGGATTATGAAAATCCTCTCCTCATAGGATGAGAAAAAGGAATGGACGAAGGCAGGACCCAGCCCACAGTTCCTGCTCGATAAACTGTAGCCATCCCAGCTGACTGTGGGAGGTAGAGGTAGCCACCAGCTAGTCCAACCAGGGGAGGCCTCAACATGGAAGCAGCTGCTCCAGCCTAGCTGGTTCAAGCTCTGGCCCACAAGGCACAGGACTTGCTAAAACCCCCTCACCCCTGGCCAGGCCTGTGTCAAGACTCCCAGTGAGCTGATTTCATGAGGCAAGAAGCAGAATCCCAGAGAGACAGGAAGACTGTTTCATCTGCTCCCTTGCCAAGGGCAACCTCAGCATCAAAACCCACCTGTCAGTTTCCTGCCGGAAAAATGGAGAAAGCTCCTTGGCCTGCAATGTCCCTCCCTCCATCTCTCCAACAGGCAAACTCCTACTCACCCCCTTGAAGCCCAGTTCAAATGCCCCATCTCCTGCTTCATGGATCTTATCCTATCTAGTAAGCACAGCTTGGCCTGTCTTTCTTCCTGGGCAGGAAGTCTAGGCAGAGGGCAGGTGGGAGTGCCCTCCTCTTACTCATCCCCAAGTTCTCCATATGTGTTCACTGAGAGACTCTAGCTTGGCTCCAGGTCCCACTGAAAGATTTGGGTGAGCCCTGCCCTTCCTTGGACCTGGGTACCTACCTGGAGAGACTAGATTGAGTCCAGGAAGGCAGACACATGCCAGCCTTGCCCAAAGCCAAGACACCCACTGAAAGCCTCCTCTTGCACCCTCAAAACCACCCGCCAATAGGCACTCTACAAGGCTGAAAGACTTGCCCATAGACAAACAGAAAGGGAACTGGAACCCTCTGGGCCTCAATGTCTTCATCAATAAAATGGGGCTGTGCACCATCAGGCCCTGCCTACCTTACTGGGAAGCTCGGAGGACAGAATGAGAAGACTAGGATGGGGTAGATTCTTCCGAGTGACAGAGAGAGTGGGGGGTCCCAGGGTGTGGGTCGGACTCAGCTTTGTGACTTTAGGAAAAGTACCCAAATTCCTTGGGCCTCAGTTTCCCCTTCTGTAAAAACAAGGGTATTGGATGGGGGATTAAGATTAAAGGGCCTTCTCAACCTTGACCGTTACGGGGAGAGGGGAGGAATTCTCGGGATCGGGCTCTACCTTCGGGGCCTCCCATCTACCCCACCCGCATCCGCCCCCTCCCTCTCCGGCCCAGGCCACGTGTCCGGGGTACTCACTGCAGAGAGCGCCCCCCGCCCCCGCAATGCCGGGTGGGGCCCCTGGCTGGGAGTCGGGACTCCAGCTTCCCGGCAAGGCCCGAGAGCCCCAAGCCCATTCTGCCTGCACTCGGGCGCGTGACCCCGGCCGAGCCGCCGCGCCACCCCCTCCCCCGCCGCCCGCCGCCCGCCGATTAGTCAGCAGTTGTTCTAGGCCCGGGTCCCTTCCCCCAGCCCTCCCGCCGGCCTCCGTGTCCCTCCAAGGCAGACTCTTCAGAGACGGTCCCTAGAGCCAGCGGACGAAACCATTCTGAAGAGCTTAGCCTTGTACGGAGAATCTCTCCGGCTTGATACCAGTACCCGCTCACCGCCGCTCCAGACCCTTCTGTGCTATTTTGGCCCGCACGTCAAGTCCAGCGCCCTTTAGAGAGCATTAGGACAAGAGCTGCGGGCGGGAAGGACGAGAAATCTGTGGTTCTTCCCTCCTTCCCTCACCCCCGTGGCCTGGCCCGATGGTAGCGCCCGAGGTTGCGGGTTTCGCGCCTGCGCAGTGCGGCGCCAAGAGGGAAAGTGAGAGGGAGACGGACGTTGAGAGAACGAGAAGGAAGGAGAGAAAATGGCGTCCACGGGTGAGTGTGGTGGAACCGCGGTCGCGCCGGCTACTGCCGGGACGCCCAAATCTGGGGCCGCTCGTCTCTAGGGGTGGCCGGGACGACTGAATGGAGCTGCCGAGAAGGGTGTGAGGTACCCGCCGCGGCCCGACGAGCTCGAGGGCCCGCGTTCTTCTCCCCTCCCCCCACCGGGAAGGCCGGTTCTGGAACCTTCCGGCGCCCCCGGCGCGCGAGGTGCAAGCGGCGGCGGGAGCGCGCGGGGCCCGACGGCCGCCACACAATGGAGACCGCGGCAGGCCCCGCGCACCCGGTCGCCCGCCACGTGGGCGGGGCCTGCGGCCTCCCGGGCCCCGCGTGGGGGTTGGGGGAGGGCTGGGCAAGGCCTCGAGCCCGGCACCCCTAAGCCGGAGGTGTTGGGGGGGGTCGACGGCTGCTCGAGAAGCCGCAGCAACGCCGCTCCTCTGACTCCCCCACCCCCTCCCATTTCCAGGGAGGCGGCTCAAGCCGGAGGGCGACTTTGCTTCGCCGAGAAGCTGGGGGGGGGGGGCAGCAAATAAAAACGGCCTCGCGGGTTTGTGAGCCGAGGGGTGCCGACCTATGAGCGGGCGCCCCGTAATGGCCTGGTCGGCTGGGGCGTCCGGTGCGGCCGAGCTGCCCTCTCGGCGGGTTCCAGCCCCAAACCGAACTTCTGCCCGACAGGGTTTTGGGCGGAATGTGCTTCCCCCTTCAGCGCCCGCCCAAATCGGCGCCCCCACCCCCGGGCTTCTTCGTTTTTACTCTTATTAATCCCACCTCCTTTCCTCCCCAAAAAGCAATTAAGTGCTTCCCAGGGCCGTTTTTCAGCAAACGCCGAGGGAGATCCGTTGTATAAAACGACCAACCCGGATCGCGAGGCCAGAAATCCCTACCGAAAGAAAATTCTGGCCTCTTTGACCTAGGAGAAACAAAAGGCCCGAGTTGGCATTTGAATTATGCTTAAGCAGTCGTCTCGCAAGTTTCTTCGCCTAGGTTAAGCCGGCAGGCTTGTTTATTTCGTGGTTTGCTAGAAGAGAGGGAAAGGAGACGCGTGCTGGACTTTGAAAGAAAACCCGGGGCGGGAGCTCGAATGTGATAACCTAGGGTGGTCTTGTATACGGCAGTTGTTTAAGCTTGTAACCTAAACAGCACTTGCAGTTCGCAGCCTGTTGGTGCACTAACCTGCGGTTATTGGTAGGGTGGGGCATTTTTTGCCTCTGGGGGTATTCTTAGGCCACCTAACACCGGACCTTAGAAGCAGTGGGAGAAGTCGAGGGAAGACCGGAAAAGCTCTGGGTCCTTCCGAGATTTAATTTGAAACGGGTCGAGAATCCAGCAACTTAAAGACAATTTAAGTCTTCCCGAGCTGTGTGATCAGTAAACAGGCAGGTAAATGCCGGCGGTTAGTGCCAAGGTTCAGAGTGCCCCTAGGAGTGAGGACTCTGAAATACCACAGTCCAAGACACATCCTGGTGGGAAGTGGTTTCCGAAACGCAGGGCCCTTTCCACCTTCCTCTTCCTTGCAGTGTTTGAATTTGGGAAGGGAGAGTGCTACTCTGCCTTTCCTATGGAAGCGAGGGGAGTCAAAATGTGTATGGTGAAATTTTTGTGTGGCTGGACATGCCAGTTTCTTGGTTTAATTTGCTCACTGTTTATTGGAAATCTCCGTGTACTATATTAGAATTACAGTTGTGTTACACATAGACACACAGTAGTAGGCCAGCTGGAGGAACTTTGGGAAATCACATACTTATCTGGACTTTGGCTTCCTTTCCTTCAAAATGAAGGAGTGAGGCTAGATCTTTTTAAGAGCTTTTTGAGCCCTTAACCTCTTGACATTATAGCAAAGTTTTTGGTTCCCACAAATTGCCCCATACTGACTTTAACTCCTGATGTAGCTTGAAGCTCTAAATCTCTACTGTTGATAGTGAGTACTCTAAAGTTTCTAAAAGCCACTACTTTAGGTAATGTTAGATGTTTTTTCTCTTCGTGTATATTATGTATAGGAAAGTAGAGTATATGTCCAGTTTAACAAAGAATTACAACACACACTCCTCTAAGTCACCACCAAGAAAGAGAACATTGCCAGCACTTTAGAGGCCCCCTGGATTACAGCCCCTTCTTCTCAACCTGTCCTGTATTTTTAGTGAAAGTCTTCAGCTGCACATTTGGGGGTTAAAAACAAAGCATGACTGACTGCTAAAAAATCTAACCATTGTGTAAATAACATTTTTGAGCCCATATAATGTTTGTGAGTTGTAGGTAGATAACATAAGTTTTCAGGAAACAAATTTGCTACCTCCTTTAGCCCACCAGTATGGGACTAAATGGGATGGTTTCACACGGATCTGAGATCATTCGTTGTTCTGTATCAGCTTTGCCAGTTTTCTGCTTTACATAACTGTTCTTGTGTAAAAGTCCTCTTGCAAAGTTGAACTTCCATGTCAGCAATTTAGAATCATTTCTCATGAGACACCTCAGCAAAACGAAGGTTGAAATATTTTTTGATGCTTCATTTGTCTGTTTTGTAAATGCCTCATGGAAAAAGTGATTTGCATTTACTTTTTATGTGGGACATAGAAAGCAAGAGTTGTAGTGCTATTGAAAATGCCTTAAGGTTTAACCTTAAAATGCCATTAGATTGTCTTAAATCAGTTTGTTCATTATACAAAACCTTTAGGCAGTTGATTTGATAATGATGAATCAGGGTTCTGAGTTAAGGATGTACAGAGGAAGGAAAGTAGTTAAGGTAGAGTGGTAGAAAGGTGAGCCTACTTTAAAAGATGGATTCAGCACAGTGCTCTCAGACCAGGTAGACTTTGAGGCAGGCTTTGGATAGAGTGGGGGTAGAAACCCCTCCCTGAAGAGCTGAGATGTCCATTGTTGCTTTCAAATGAGGGGCTACTTTCCGATTGGAAAAGAAAGGACCCTTTTGTTCAGCACTAATGGCAGTACTGTCTTCTAGCATAGAATAAGGTATGTATTTCTTGTGGAGAGCAAAGATTGGGTAGAATTTTTTAAAATATTTTTAAAGGGGCGCCTGGGTGGCTCATATGGTTAAGTGTCCGCCTTCGCCTCAGGTCATGATCTCAGGGTCCTGGGATTGAGCCCCTCATCCTGCTGAGCAAGGAGCCTACTTCTCCCTCTGCCTGCTGCTTCCCCTGCTTGTACACAGTCACTCTCTCTCAAAAAAAATCTTGGGGCGCCTGGGTGGCTCAGTCCTTAAGCGTCTGCCTTCGGCTCAGGTCATGATCCCAGGGTCCTGGGGTTGAGCCCCACATGGGGCTCCCTGCTCAGCGGGAAGCCTGCTTCTCCCTCTCCCACTCCCCCCTGCTTGTGTTCCTGCTCTCACTATTTCTGTCAAATAAATAAAATCTTTAAAAAAAAATACAAAAAATCCTTAAATTTTAAAATACATGTATGTTTAGTTCAGTAGTGCTATGAAAAACGTCACCATTTTATTTTCTGTTTGTTTTCACTACTTGTATAGACACCTCAGTGGACTAGTTTTTAGTCCTTTTTTGTGCATGTTTTACATTTCATATGAAAAGGGAAATTACAGGAAAGATTAGAAAGAGAAGAGAGGGGAAGAAAAGTAAAGTTGTGGGCCTTTTTTTTTTTTTTAGTTGAAATCATTGTGAGTTTTAAAAAGATGTTGTTACCTAAAACCAAATTACTCCCAAAAAGATTACATGCTTTGTTCTCTGCCTTAACTCTGCTGCAATTTATGTTGTGTTTGGCTTTTGACTTACTGTAGAGATGTAGCCCTGATACAGTCAGGAAAGCCTTTAAAATACTGGATTGGGATGACTTTCTTTTTTGCCATTCCATGTCACAGCCCTGCTCTGGAATTATGGTTCGTTTTCAAAATGCTGAAGTGAGGGGGTGATAGAAAAACTAGTTTTGGGGGAGATGTAGCTACTGTTGTAACCAGTCTGATGTTAAACATTGTAATATTGTGGCATGCCTCATTTTTATATGAAGGTAAAACTTCTGTTGGTTCATCTTGTTTTCTGTTAGTCTTAGGATGATGATCATGTATTTGAAATGACAGCCTGCAGTTAAGGGGCCCCGGGAGGGAATTGTGGTCATGGGAACCTTTAAAGTATCTGCCAAATCAGCTGATCTTGACCTCATTAGCTGGCATTATATTTCAAACTTTCTGAACTTTAACTGGCTTAGACTTATTTTTTTGGTTTGATGTTAAGAGAGAAGAGATACTCATTCGGACCTGTGTTGGCCTGTACTTCCTCTCTATAAACAGTTAAAAGAATTTATCTTCTTCCACCTGAATTTCTCCTCCCCCTTTTTTTTTTCTTCTCCTTGTCTCTGCTGACTTCACATTATTTTCTCTCCTTGTTTTCTCTAGATTACAGTACCTACAGCCAAGCGGCAGCCCAGCAGGGGTAAGTCAGTCTTTTTATAACAGTCCTTTGGGTGTGATTGATTATAATGTTTTTAGAATACTAAGCCTCCTGGAGTTGTAGAGGATTTTGTAACGGAATCTGAATGTTCTATATTCAGTTCTTGCATTTAATTTCTCTTACAGCTACAGTGCATACACCGCCCAACCCACTCAAGGATATGCACAGACCACCCAGGTAATCTTTAAGATACTTATATGTGGTTACGTCCCCAAACAAAATATTTCTGTCAGCCATTAAAACAATAGCTAGTACGGCTCTTTTTTAAAAATCGGGTAATAGAAAAGTATGACGTGCTTGTATATGTGCTACTGAAGCAAGCACTGATGTGCTTGTAATCATAAAAGTACTCAGGCGTTTTAAACTTGCACAGTGGGAGTGCCATTATAAATGACACCATCCCCAAACTGGGAGTTGCTAGCTCTCCACACCTTTCTAGTATCATCTCTCAAGTTAAGTGCCTTGCTCAGTAATTGGTCCTTCTACATATTGTATTATGTTTAAATTAATTTAATTTTACAGTGCTTCTGCAGGAGAAGGTGTTATTAGGATATTTTGCAAACAAAAAGTAGCAGCGCATAGATAGGTCATTTGCCAGTGGTCACATAGTAAATGGCAGGGTCAGCTCTGTATGGCTGCCTAGCTACAGAGCTTCTGAGCCCTTTCCAGTACATGAGTTTGTGTTTAAAAGTCTAGGCCAACAGATTTTGGAAATTAGGGTCCTAGTGTTCTCAAGACCACTTCGAATTCTGAAATGGTCCATGACTAAAATGGATACTAATAACTCTGCCATTGAAACTTCCTGGGACAGACAGAAGTGTGATGTCTCTGGCAGATCTTACATAACTGGTCATTCAAATCTAGAATGTGATCTTGCTAATAGGTGGAAGAATACCTCATTCCTTACCAGGTTTTAAGTATTACTGATGTCCAAGTTCAAAAGACAGTTCTTGATACGTTAACCTTCAGGAGACTTGGAGTGTTCTAGTTCGTTTTCTTTGAAGTGGTGCAAGTTTTTAAATTTTTATGTCAGGCTGAAAATCTGGTTTTTAGAACTAACAGATTTTAATCCCATTTTCCTTTTCTTTCTCTTGGTTCGTTTTGTCTTCCTAACATTTGTTTCCAGTTGCTAAAACGGTGCTACACTAAGTGCTATAGCAATTATACACCTGTTCCATTGTTGCCCGTCCCTTGAGAGTGTCTTGTTAATCTCCTGTATAGTTAACTGGGAGTTTGCCTCATTATCTCAGGAACTTTTTTGTAGTTAGGTTTATAAAAATTTGAGTAGATTAGGTAAGGGAAAGAAGGCATTCATGATGCTGTGATCACTTGTCTGTTTTTTACAATCTTTACTAGAAAGCAGTATTTTTGGCTTTGGTTCTTCCAGTTTTTAGAGCCTTAGAAATAAGTCAGTCTGTTTTTTGGCTAAAATATAAGGTTTATATATGAACTTCTTGCATCCATTTTCTTTGAGCAGGCATATGGGCAGCAAAGTTATGGAACCTATGGACAGCCCACTGATGTGAGCTATACCCAGGCTCAGACCACTGCGACCTATGGGCAGACCGCCTATGCAACTTCTTATGGACAGCCTCCCGCTGGT